AGAGAGTTTAGAGACCGTTGTCTCACCCGTCCCGCGTCACAGATTAACATCGTCATTCGATTGCTCATGACTTTCGAAATAAAACCAAAACTAGGTTACGACGTGGTTGACTTGACTAGGTTACGACGACACTTTCTCTTCGATATAGGTACAACCTATCTTATAGGTTAACTTTATTTTTTTATTGGAATTCCCTGTTGAACTTACGAAAAAAGAAAAAAAAGAGAATTACGTAACGTATTTTCTAGCCTAGCCCTTTTTAGCCATAGCCGTTTAACAGTTTTATGTTTACTAGCCTTAGCCTAGCCCTTCGGTTTTTTCCACTAGCCCTGTAGGGATTAAACAAAACATAATTTTTCACGTTCCAACCTTGATTGCTAGTTAAAAGAAGACAGTAGTTTGAAATGTTTGAGTTTTTGTAAATAAGTTTTTATTTATATTTTGATATTTTTTTTTACTATAGGAGTGTAAACTCTTAAATTTTTTTACTTGTTAGGTCATAAAGACAACTATTTGTTGAACTCTGTATAACTAAAAAGTTTGTTAAAGTTAATTTAAGGACGTCTAGGTGAAATAAATTAGTAGAAAAACGTCGTTAATACTATCAATTCATATTAATCGACTCATATTTTGCGTTTCTTCACTAAATTCTCTCACGAGGGATTATGTTTCCATTAAATATGTATACATGAAATACATATATGACATGTGGTATGTGTATCTTACATACGAAATAACTAGAGAAATTTTATATTAATTTGTATTGTCTTAGAAGTACATTAATTAAAAAACGCTGGTTATTATGAAGTTGTTTCCAATATACGTCCTTAGGACTTCAGTTTACGTTTGGAAAATTCTGGAAAAAATTCTGGGAAAGGTATGTAAACTTCTGGAGTAGCGGTGAACCTCAAGGGATTGGCCAATGGAACCGCTGTGTGAGTGGAGTGTAACTGATATATGTCATAACTAACAGGAAGAGGAATAGAGGGTGGTAAACCTGGCGTTTGAATGTAAAGGGGTATTGCTACAACAAATTGTTGGCCGCATTTGCCTCGAACCGCGCGGTAGTCGTCACTCGTCACGCTACAGGACACAGTCTACTGCAGTTTGGGTTGCCCTACGGTATTTATTTGATGTGTCTTAAGTGTAATGTGTGTGATGCGTTACTAATGTAAGTCTGTCTGAAATCTTATGTTGGAGAACCCGTAAATCATATGAATAACTTTTGTCCGCTGTTTTACATATGGAACCTTTACGGCAAATTATGAAAACTATGTCATGAATAATTATCAGGATTAAAAACCGATTTAATCGAATATTTGAACATTGTGAAAAATTCTGGGGACTAGTTAATTTTATTCATAACTAGTAGACAACGACTTTATATTAATATATTTTATTACCTAAATTTGTAAACAAATCAAACCTACACGTCCTTTGATTTAGAGCACATACTTCCTTTTGTATTTTTTATAAAAAAAAAAATTTTGTCACACTCTTTTATACAAAACAACTGACTACATTCGTAATAAAGACTTACATACCGTAATGTGTAGAACATACACGTAGTAAAGGTATCTATCTTTTGTTACTAAATTATTACAATTATTGTACGATCGTATTTTCCAAACGTATTTGTGAGTTATATCTCTATACGCAAGAAATAATCTATTAGTTTTTACCGATATGTCACATGTTGACGTTGGTTGTGTATAGTTTCTGTTGGAACCAAACTGAAATCATTTTCTCTCTTAACCTAAGAATTACTTGCCGCCCGACTTAACTCTTATTTATCTTTCGAGGGGAGAAGATTTGAGGGAAGGGAGTGCTGTAGTAAATTGGGGCTGACTAACCGTCGAGTGAATACTGCCTGTCTCTGTGAGTGGACCCTTGACTCCAGTTCCTAGGTGAGACCCGTCGCGCAGCTGCAGGTGCACGGTTTATGCGTGGCGACGAGACTCGACAGAGACCACCGGAGGCTGACGGCGGTGTAATGCCTGTGTGTAGTCGCTCTGTAGGGGAGTGTGTGGACTATCGTGTGTACTAAAAAAAATACTGACTTTTTTTCCGACAAAATAGGAGACTGAAAAGGTTTGGCTACCGGGGGGCTGTCGAAATCTGCTGAGCCACACTAAATCCTGTCGATACGATTGCATTTACAGTAAAATTCAAGTGTTTCCACTCTAATTTCACTTTTTACCAATGTGGATGTAATCTTTTAGCACCTTACTATATTATTATATATATTCTCTTCTCGTCATTCAGGAGTATTAAAGTCTTCGATCTATCATCGCCCCCGACGTGTTAAAACCTTTATTATTGATAAACTCTAATATAAAATGGATATTAACCTTAACCTATACTAAACGCTATAGCCTCCCTAATAGTAAAAAATTTGTACCAGTGTAAAGTGAATTTTTATATAATATAACTATCGTTTCACACTAAAAAAATTCTCCTAGACATGGTTAAATCGATGATAAATAATTCAAGCATGATCTATCTCATAAAAATCGACCCTAAACAAGACGTCATGGTAGTTATAGTCTATAAATATGTATAAAACAGAAGGTGTTTATACGATTGACACCGCACTATAACGCTAAAGTTAAAACTATTAACCACAATGTATTTACATAGTCAATACTCTGGTCCCTAGATGTCAGACATACCTCCCTTTAATGTGTAATCATTGATTAAAACAATACCGTACAAAACGGTACCCCCAGGAGTTACGAAAAATACACGTTACGGGTATCTAAACAAAAAAGATAGAGATTTAACCTGACATTACATTGGAATAACCAAGTATATTATTTATGACTTGTTATTCAGTATGTGGAGACTAACATTTTACACAAATTTGTTGACTTTTTCTAACGGAAACACACTTCCCTTTATAGTAGTTAGTATAAACAAAGTACCGATATTGACAAGTTGTTAAAGGAAAACTTACGTTCGAGACATCGTCGAATGGATCGTCACCCTCATTTCTGTACGTGCTTCATCTCGTGAGTCATTCGTATCTTCTGGACTACATGAATATACTAAGAGACAAAAGTCAAGCATCAGAAGAACCAGCTCACTGATAACACAGCCGAAAACCCTCACACTCGGATTGACATAACACTACTCCAGCGAAACCCTTTTTTTACAGTCGATTTTACATTACATACATTTACGTACCGCTTTTGTAGAGTTCAGTTCAACGATTGTGGTATATTTGCGTATTTTACGGTGTAATTAACACATGGATGGCAGACTGTTAGCCACCTCAGATGCTGGGAAAAGGCTGTGGAGGAACGTCGCCTCGTACCAGGAGAAGAGAAACCCTGTAGACTCAGTGTCCAGGTTCGACAACTACGATACTTTCTATGACTTGTGTGCGCCGTGATTGTGGTGAAAAGAAATCCAATACAGGTCTCAATCAAATTACTTAAACAATAAAAAGAAAATATCGGTAGTCGAGATAATTGATCCTTATAAAGGTCTTTAGAGACTGTTGTGGTTAAACATAGTTCCCAAAATATCGAGAACAAAACGTACACTGAGAGCGTAATTAATGTAATCATTATCATTATTATTGTTAGCAATAATTTGACTCAATGTTTCAGGAAGTGTATTTTGCTTAAATTTTGTCTGATTTTATATGCTTTTTTTTGGGCGTTGATTTTTGTTTATTTTTCTATTTTGTACTTATGTTATACAAGTTTTTTCACTAAAAATTTTATCTGAAGCCTACATCAAACATCGGGACTAGGTTCTGTTTGTTTCATTTGGGCAGCAAATTTTTCTGCACAACGAATAGTTTGGGTTCCGGATCTGTCGATAAATTTTTATCGCACCGATACTCTGTCCATACTCTGTTCAGTCACCGTCGCTCTGTCCAATAAAAATGTAGGTCGATACTCCATTGGACTTACGATGTGTGACACGTCGTACAAATGCGTCGTATATGGTAATGTAATTATTACTACACCAATAATAATCTCACTTTGAAGAATCTAGTTTGTCCTTGTCAGGTCTATGAAAACAAGCCCCAAAGAAGCAACACATACATGATGTTGTGTAATTTGAAACCAAAACTAAGGCCTCAGGATGACTTTAAGACTTAAACTTGGTCATTTTTGTTTTGTAACATTGAATACAAAATAAAAATAAAGTATTTATGATTTTTTTCTCCCGATTCCGATCTTTTGAAAATCACGTGATCGGCTCCGATCCCCGATCACGTGATCGGATCGGGACATCTCTAAACATAATCAAATGGTTTGGACATGTAACTTTCTACAAACCAATTGATTTTGAGACATCATTGTTTTTCTTTCTGGTATCTGTCCAGGCCCAGTGGACCGTAGGGAAGCTGTACTGCCAGAACTGCTGCGCCCGTTTAGGCGGCTTCAACTTCATCAACCACAGCGAGTGTCCCTGCGGTCGAGACGCCGCCGTCCACCTCAGCAAGAGCCGCGTGGACCAGGACCACAAACACTGCGTCCTCATCGTGCAGCCGAGGAGGAGGAGGACGTCCGAGAAGGAACAGACCGCTGTGTTGACGGACGGCTGTCAGAGCAGAGAGCGGAGGACGGACTTCAACAGTTTACACCTCAACTGTGCTGCTCAGGCCTCCACTGAAAACCCCCCGTCGTTCTCCTTCAGTCCTCTGTACTGCATCTCTCACCGGAGACGCCGCAGTTTGGAGGAAGACGCCTCCATCAGGTCGTCTTGCTTCTGCCCTGCAGTGAAGTCTGCTGTGGAGAGACCAAGGACACGTGAGGACACACCTGTCTCGTATCCTACAAGTCAGCGGTTTGACTCTGAAGGTCAAGCGTCAGTCGTCGCCTCTGGAAGGACACGCTCACCTCTGCAGAGGGTGGAGGACGCAGAGTCTTCTCCAGAGACCTCGCCTGTCCAACAGGATGTTCCCGTGTCAGCGCTGCTCCTCAGAGGGAGGGCCGTCTCTGACAGCGTGGCAGACGGGGAGGTGGAGGAGGATGAAGAGGAGATGGTGGTATGTTGCTAGATTTACGCTCTACAGTAAATATATTGACATTGCAAGTGAAAACACCCAGTAAATATATACATATCAACAGTAGAAAGATGTATACTGTATCTATAGAGTAGATATTCACAATATGAAATGTACAGAATAAGTTAGAATACACTATAAGACCCCAAACTACAAAATATATATATATGTATGGAAATAGGGTACAAGATACATTATGCAAGTGTGTAAAGTATTTTTGTAAAGTCATTTAAAATATGCATTTGTTAGGAATACTTTTGTTTCCGTACATAAGGACATTACAAATGTCTAATGTAAACAGAGACAGAATCTAAAATAATGTATTTATCCTGTGAGAAATTGGGTTTCATTTTAGAATAACATAAAAACATAGACATTCAGAGCAGAAGCTTTGCCAAACAGTGACCTTTGCTTCCTGACATAATAAGATTGAGATATTCTAACCTTGACACAACAATTTCCTGTGGAAAACTATGATGGGCCCTACAAACTGAACCGGTACTGTTGCAGAGGCCTTCAACAGTACTGGTTCTAAGCATTTATATAATCAGAATGAAAAAGTTAATACAAATAACTACAAATAAAAAAACAGGCTAAAATGTGTTTATTTCTTTAAGAGGTATATTACAAAGTAGTAGCCTGATTTCCATAAAATGTGCTGTAGATATTCCTGATCCCCAGAGGATGGATCTTGTTGTCACATTTTCAACACATATTAGTATATTATTATATACTCATAGACTGTAGATGCAAAATCCACTTTTTCATGTCTTTTATACATAAACATTCTGAAAGTATCAGGAACAAAGACCCCCTCACTTTTTGTCCTGATCCATTTATATAAAAACCTGTCTGAAAATGAGCTGATCAGATTTTGCCCACTTTATGATGTCATAACGATGTGTTGGCTTGTGTAACCATTAGCCAATCACCAACCAAGGTAACCCCCCCCCCACCTTATCATCTGAATCTCTCCCTGGAGCCGCTTTCACAGTGCCCAGCCTTGTGCAGCACTTAGTACCCCATGAACTATAGTACAGATTGCGTTCACCACCGGATAATTCCCTGAGGGAGATTACGCAATGAAGCCGGCTGACGTTGCTTTTTCTTCTTCGTGCTTTGGTTTTAGCTTGGCACAGGCTCGCAACCACTTCATTGTGTTATATCTGCCACCGAAGTCCCCGGCCGGAAGTCCCAAGAGTTGGGGACTGGCTTCAGTAGGAGCTGCTGGGATTCCCAGCTAGCTTCTACTGAAGCCTTCTCGGAGTAAATCGCCAGAACGCCGACACCTCCTTCATTCACTCCACCGCTCCCCATGTTTTTTTTTGTGTTGCCATAAGGTTCTTCTCTCTCCGTTTTGGGATGCGCGGGGGCTAAAAGCTAATAACTTTTTACGGGGCGTGTTTGCAATTCGCCCAGCATTCAGAATTTGGTACTTTTTTTCTCCCGGGGATAGTACCACCTCTCTAGCAGGCACTAAAAAATATGGGTGGTAAAAGTCTCCTGAACTAAATACTCTTTTTGGTAGTGACGCAAAATTGCCCAGGCCACTATCGGAAGGCCAATGAAAAGTACGGGTTATAAAGTGTTCGGAAAGGCCTATTGTGTTCGATTCAACCAAATCTCTTCTACCAGAGGGGCGGTAGGGGTGGCTCCTTATTTTCATCTAAAGTAACAGTACAGAGAATCAGCACTTTGAAACGGGGCTGCAACAGAGTGCACTGCAAGATCGTGTTTGGTTTTCAGCCAGATCAGAGACAGGCTCCTGATATCATATCTGGAGACCCTATCAATATATTGATTGAAAAACAGTATGAAGGGGACCTTTAAGGTTATTGCCAATTCTCTGATTGGTGTGAATGTGTTGCCTCCCCAGCCTTGAAGCCCTTCATGGCCCCCCCGGCCTCCAACGACTGAGCGGAGAGAGACACAAACCGCTGAGAGGTCCGGAGGAAACAGAGGAGACATGTGAGAGCGATGGATGCTCAGCCGCAGGTCAGACACATGACTCAGGACTCAACACACTCCTTCACATTCAGAAAGCTCTGAGTTAGTTTGTAGAAAGTCAGGAATAAGAAGTTGAATTAATGACGAAGCGGGCTAAATATTAAGTATCATTATTCTCGTTATCTGCTTAATTGAGTAGAATAGGTTTTGTTTACTGGGCAAACACCTTTAACTATTATTTTAATTGGTATTTATTTTATCTCATAAGAATTTCTAAGGATGATGTCATTTCTTATGAATTTGAAAGGTTACATTAAAACGGGGAAATATTTGTATGAGGATTATTCTAAATATCTTTGCTGTTCAAGGTTCAAGGCTATTTATTAGTCATACGAACCATGCTACAGCGTCGTTATGACGATGAAATCTTAGGATCACAGTGTCCTCCACGAGCTACCACAATAACTGGAAAAACTGAAAAAATTGAGTAAATACAAAATAAAAATGTTTAAATAGTGAAATAAAGTCTACTCCTCCCGTGTTGGAATATGAGATATATTAGATACAGAATTTGTAAGTTGCAGACAGATGATGGATGACATGTTATGGTGTTGTTTCAAAAGTGGGCAGGTGTTTATAGTCTTTGGCCTGTGGATGACGACTGTGTCGTGTGACTTTAAATGAATATCCTTTTCATTCCTAGTGAACCTTGAATAAACTTATGTGTGTGGTGTGTGTGTGTGTTGTTGTGTGTGTGTGTGTGTGTGTGTGTGTGTGTGTGTGTGTGTGTTGTGTGTGTGTGTGTGGTGTGTGTCGTGTGCTGTGTGTGTGTGGGTGTGTGTGTTGTTGTGGTGTGTGTGTGTTGTGTGTGTGTGTGTGTGTGTGTGTGTGTGTGTGTGTGTGTGTGTGTGTGTGTGTGTGTGTGTGTGTGTGTGTGTGTAGTCTGAGAGTGTGAGTCCCTGTCTGTCTGAAGGTGAGGATCAGGACGGAGAGGGCCTCACCTGTGCCGTGTGTCTGGAGGTGTTCTTCAGCCCGTACAGCTGCCAGCCCTGCGCCCACGTCTTCTGTGAGCCGTGTCTGCGCACAATCGCCAAGAATCGACCCACGAACACCCCGTGCCCCCTCTGCCGCGCCCTCATCTCTCACACCACCCCCCACAAAGGTGAGCTCACATGAATAAACCTGTCAATTAAAGTCAAAGTCAACTTTATTGTCAATCTTTCAGTTTGTGTGTACAGACAGAGAGATCCAAATGCCGTTTCCCACAATCCCGAATACAAAAACAAATATATATAACAATATGTATGCAAATATATATATACCTATATATATACACAAATCAACAGAAACATTTATACATAAGGACACATTAAGACCTGAATAAAAGCACAACAATCAATATATACAAAATAACTGTCACTTCAATATCTTTGAGAATGTAAATTAGTGAAAGACTGTGTCCGGTGCTTCTCCGAGACCTTCTTTTACGTTTCCCAGAAACTTCCCTTTCTTTTTTACATTCCCTGAATCTGGATTTTAAACCAGATTCTTTTAGACTCCCAGAATCTGGACTTTAAAGGTCCCATGTCATGGCCATTTCCACTGATCATAATTCCATTGTTGAGGTCTACTAGTCCTACACGGCTTGTTGGAGCTCCTGCCCCCCCCCATCCGTGAGCCCACTGTGCTGCAGCACCCACATCTGCAAGGCTCCACTAGCACCCCCCCTCCCCTCCGCACCACCAAACGTGGCGCACCTCATTTGGGTATGGTCACGTCACTGTACCCAGGAAGAAAAAGAGAAATCCCCAACGAGGCGTTCTGGGGTAGCATAGACAGGTCTTTTCTGTGTTAGAGTTTTACTCGCTACAGGGTGTACTTTGAGGGTTTGTGACGCAGACCATTTACATGCAGAAAAACCTTCATAACACACAAGGGGACGGGTAAGAACCGGAAAAGCATGACATGGGACCTTTAAACCTTTCGATTCCCAGAGATAAACCTATAGAAATGTCTTTAAGCCTCCTGGAGAAACGTTACAGTTCAGCGTAAGATATCAATAGTTCCATTAAAAGCAGCAGTAAAAAGATAATCAGATATCCTATCAGGGCTTCCGTAGATAACCTACATGTTATCCGCTAAATAGATAGATGTTCTCCGAATACCTATTCCTGGAAGTGGAAACAAACTAATTCTGATTTTATATTTCTCTTCAGAGTTCAACCACACAGCGAAGACCTTCTTCCCCAAAGTGTACAACGCCCGCAAGCAGAGCTTCCAGAGTGCTGCGTGTGCAAAATGGCCGCTGCCCAGCTGTCGCAAACGCTTCCGAGCTTTCTGGGGTGAGAAAGGGTTTCCTCTATTTTAGTTTTCTTAAGTCTAGAAAGTAGTTTTAGATGAATCCTTTGAAAGAAAGCAGGATTCTTTTTCTGAAAGGAGCTACATCTGTTTATCGTTGGATGACAGGAACAACATCTGAAAATGAAAGGCTTATTTATTAGGATAAGATAAGGATAACAAAGTGATTTATAATGCAATGCTCCTGACCTTCTTTTCACCCTGTCTTTAAGTGATATTGCTTTTGTCTGGAGATTTAAGAGTCAATAATAAACGTTATCTTTACAGAAGTTGCCAACGTAGCACTACTTATGGTTTTACAAACAATAAAACAGCAGTCACATAAAGTTCAGTAAGATATATATTATTGCATAATGGACTTAGTGTACAAGTCATACAAAAGGGTGTTAGATACACAACACAACACCCTACCATACAATACATTAAATAATTACACACTTTCTCCAATAGGTAAATATCGCATTTAAGGATTTTTGCCTCATAATTTCAACCAATATTAAATAGAAACCGAAATTATTTGTGTATTTGTTTAATTTTCAAAGAATACACAAAATCACTTTTTTCCTGGCTTTTCACTTTTGATCACTATTGCAGAACATCTGGCAATATTTAAAATGATGGCAACCGCAGTGGGCAATGTGCAGGAAATGAAATGAAACCTCAAGCTTTTAATTTGTCTTTTTTTACTATAATTTGCTTTTAAATAATAATTAAAGAAAACCAAATGGTCTGTTGGCCATTACTTTGCTAGCTCTTGAGTTCCATAAATTATACGCCATTTAAAAAAAATGATATTCTTCAAAACACAAAATAACTCAGCCAAAAAGACCTTGTTCACCCGCACCAGTTTCCTTTGTTCAAGGAATTTTGTAATTGCAAAAGGTTAAATAACATTTTGGGTTGAATAGGTGAGCATTGTCAGCTAGAAATGTAATTTGATTTGATTTGTGTTGAAACAATAATAAAAAAATAACAATGAAATGAAACATGAGAATTATTATACTATACAGACATAAGCAGTGTCAAATTGATAAACAAAAATATTACAGATTCTAAATTACATATCTGAAAAGGTTCGGGAAGAAGTTCACACTTATTTAATCCCACCCCTTCTCCCAAAAACTAAATTATTAACATATATATATATTTTTAGAAATACATTTCTTTTTGAAAAAGAAACTAATTGTCTCCGTCTCCCTTCAGGTGAGCAGAGGCAGACGGCGAGGCGCTGGCACTTTGCGCTCGGAAGCTTCACGCTGGACACGTTGGACTTCGGAGGCGTGCGCGGCTGGCTCTTCGACAACGGCCTGGTGATGGTCTACATCCCCGTCAACTGGATCCTGGCCACCTTCTTCAGTTTCTTCTTCATGTACTTTTTCTTCTTTTGAGACACAGAGGAGCGCTCCGCAGTTTGCAGTGCAGGTTTATTTGTATCTTTTTCTTTAAAGGCACAAGGGAATGTGAGTTCAAAGCTGTTATTCCAGCAGCAACATATCTCTGTGATGAGATACTTAGAAATCAGGGAGCAGGAACCCAACATTTGCCCGTATTGTAAACATATGGTTTGAAATGTTTACAATATGTGTCAAGCGATGATTTGATCGCCATTTTATTTTGGCCAGTGTTACTATAGTGTTATTGCAATAATACCCTGCGGTGTCCTGATTTCCAGAAGAGACGCTGAGGTACAAAAAGTGGCATTTCTTCTGGTCATTTTTTACTTTGCGGAAAACCTAGTAAATACTCGCTGTTTGGCACTGTTGGTAGTGATGATCAGCCAAAAAAAACCTTGATGAATGATGCATGATGTCACTTTTTAGCAGAAAGAAACAGTTCCAAGATTTTAGAAAAACATGCGTGTTGGTTTTCTTTCAGAGAGGTACACAAATTGCTAATACTCTTATGTCTGTGTTACGTATGGTGAACAGGCTAGAAGACAATTAGCCTAGCTTAGCATAAACCTGGAAGCAGGGGGAAGCAGATAAGCTGGCTCAGTCCAAAGTAATGAAATTGCGTTTTAACGGTAATGTTCAGCCTGATGACTTTACGCCCTCTCAGTTAGCAACTGCTGTTTTTAAGACATGCAAAAGCTTCAGAAGTTTACCAATAGTTTGTTTTCGTTTAAATGTGCATTTGCATTTGCTTGGCAAAGGAAAAGTGTCTTCCAAGATATTGATTTTCTTAGCATGGAGATGTTTGGACATGTGTTCAACATGCTCAGGAATTAAACACTGTATGTATGCGGTAAATAAAGACAGCAGCAGGTTTTGATGGAGGCGAATGATTGATGGACTGACAAAATAATCAGACACACAAAGGTATATAAAAAAATACGTATGCTGCCTTTAATTATTCTGTGCCTACTGACTTTAACACGTATTATGAAACTGGAATTCACTATAGCTTTAAGTTGCAACCCTCTGGCACAGAATATGATGTATGCATAGGAAGCCAAAAATACATTGAAATAAAGTCTTCAGTTAATTCATTAATGTCTTTGTTAAGGAAAAGGCATGTGGAAAAAAGTCTTGGCGTTCATATTATGTAAAGAGTTTATTTTTATGCAAAATAATAAATTGCAAATGCAAAAAAGTGCAACTAGAGATATCTGCTTTTCTTATTTGAACAAAATAGGGTAAGAACTTTGCATTTTGAGGAGAGAAATTGGTGGCAAGACTAAATCACCTGCACCTGTTTTAAGGGAGCCTTTCCTTTGTTAATGTCTTGTTTCTTATCTGGTTTAATGTTTGTAAAAGTTATGTTTTCTTGAAAGCTCATTATGCAAATAAAAGCAGATGCGATTGAATTGAATGAATTAAAAATGGTTTATGATTAAATGTTTCGAAATGAATTTTCTATAATTACATTATTCTCAAGGATCCTTAAAAAAGTATTAAAAGGCAATACAATAATTAATCTAAAACAAGGACAATTCTAAGGACCTGTGACTGAGAGGGACTAAATATTAGGTAGGAACATAAATCATTTGTTCAATAGAAAACATAAACCAATCATTATAAATAGAATCTTTTGTTTAGATTTGTTATCTTTAATTAATCTTTAAAGCATTTTGTGATGGAAAAATGCCTCTGGATATATCCTGCTCACCTTAGACTTCAACAAAGTGGATGGAAAAGCCGAATGCATTAAATACCTTTCACAATTATAATTTGTCTGTGAAGGAACGTTTATGTCCCACAGGAAACACTCTGTTGTGTTTCTGATGCTACCGATCACTTGTCAGTCAGAGAGTGACGACTTGTTTGGCTCGTGAATCCTCTACGTGAGCGCGCGGCGGAAGACGAAGGAGCCCCCCCACCCCTCCTCCCTTACTCTCTGTCGGCCTTCAGGAGGGGCTGAAGGTGACTCTCTTCTCGGCTGGGATGCACAGCGAGCTGCTGGGGGTCGGTCCGGCCCGCTACACGCTGCTATACCCCGGGAATAACGACTCACCTGCGTGGCTTTAGGGATTCACCACCCCGCCACCGTGCTGCTTCAAAGCGGCTCATTTATTTTTCTTCTCTGTAGAGGACACAGCAGCTATCTAAAACGGGGTATCTATCTGCCTCTGTCTCTCTGTCTGTGTGGCCGGGCTCCGGTGGTGGCTGTGCATGCATGTGTTCTGCACCGTACGGGCGGAAAAAGCGCCCGAGATCCGCAGGGAGCATCTTCCCCAGCGGTAAGGTGGCGCAGACGGAGCCGGAGCGGCGCGAGAGCACGGAGGAGGCCGTGGACGGCAGCAGGATGGTGAGACATATCTCCGGATGACAGTCAGTGTTAGCGTGTAGCTCTGCACCAAAGGAAAGGTCCTTTATTTACCTTGGGGGAACCAGGTGTCCTGCTTTGTGTGAGACTGCACTGCATTTTCTATAATTTGTCCCACGTCACACAAATTGAATGTCCCTCATTTGATTGTCACCCGTCTAAAACTTGGCATTTTAGTCTAGTTACCAGCAATGTGAACCAGGAGTATTGCCGTAAAACTGCTATTGTTGATCCTGAAAATATCAGAAATGGATTCAGCATCCTCGATAACCCCCCCAAAACACTCAAACATCTTCCAAATCTGGCAATACTTTTTGTCAACATAAACTATAATGCTTATTAATCCTTATTGATGGAATGTATGCTAATTGTGCAAATTGCCCAACATATTAGTCTATTTGCCAGCCCAGCTTTAAAGGAGCAAAAATAGCAGATTTCAGTCTCTTAAATCTTTAAAATGGACCAAAAATGCATCAAAATATGGCCACTTTCTGGTTAAAACTGCAATTTTCCCCCCAGAAAATGTCACAAGTGGATTCAGTGTCCCTGAAAAACCCTAAAAACACTCCTTAATTGTCCAAATCACCCAGGAAATGTTTTAACTATTGTCCACATAAACTATATTGCAAATTCTGTCCAAATAGCTTTATTAGCATGATGATAATGACATGCAGCCTTGCCAAGGCTTTGTACAATTGCGACATCTCAACATAAATATACATTTATAATGCACTGTTCAGTTCATAAACATTTTTGAACGAATGCAAGAATAACATGTTTACTTTACAGGGAAAACACAATACAGTTTTTGAACATGAGCGAGAACATTTATTTAAATAAATTTTTTAAAAGCAGAACAAAATAAAAAGTTAAGGTGAATTATTGATTAGTTATGCTAATTTATGCTAATTGTGCAAATTGCCCAACATTTCATCCAGCAGTTTATATGTGGTGGAGACCCGTACTTTACATTTATAACATAAATATTGAAATCTAAACTATCTGTGCATCGCAGTAACATGTCCCACATTGTCCCACACAAGCAACCTGGTCACCCTCATTAACATATAGACTCTATGTGCAAATCAAATGTATAAAGTTGCGATTTTGGCGAAAAAAGGCTAAAAAAACTAGCACACACATTTTTTTATGTTTTGATTTTTATTATCGGATGTTTGTGTTTCTCTCCAGGCTGTGCAGGAATTCAACACCCTGGTAGCGCTGTACCGGGAGCAGGTCATCTCCGTGGGGGAGATGTCCGCCGACTGCCCCTCTCTGCGGGCTCACATGCAGCACACACGGGCCAAAGGATGCTCCATGGCCCGGGCGGCCCACCATGACCTCAGTCTCATCTCTGTGTCCGGGTAAGAAAGATCGACTAGTTCTCTTCGGACTTATTCAGGAACATATTTTGGCTTTAGATAGATAGATAGATAGATAGATAGATAGTACTTTGTTTGTATGTATCAATCTTCATCTCTTCCTCCTCCTCCTCCTCCTCCTCCTCCCCTGCAGTCTGGAGGACGGGGAGATCCACCCTGAGATCTGTCGGCTCTTCATCCAGCTGCAGTGCTGTCTGGAGATGTTCATAACAGAGATGCTGAAGTCCATGTGCCTGCTGGGGGTGCTGCAGCTGCACAGACAAAGTACCCAAAAGAAATCACAATATTAATTTGCCACACAATGTCAAGAAACTGAAACTTCCAGAGTAATTCAATTAATGTTACAGTACATTTAAAGCCAGTTTCAATACATCCAATAGTACATGCATCACACTGCAGGTCTGATGAAGTTAATCTGTATTTGTTTTCATTCAAAACTAATGTCACATGTTCCATGGAAGGGGAAAAGCTCTAATGAGATAACTTATATTTAGCCGTCCAACTTTCAGGGTCCTTGTACTGAGCCGTACTGCATGGCTTTCTGGGAAATAATTAATAGGTCTGCTATGACCAAATGTCTGCTGACCATTTAATCACACATTGAATTTATTAAAAGGCATTGATAAAATAGGTTTTGAATCTATAAATAAAGCCTGCTTGTGAAGAATGCATTTACCAAAATACACATTAGAATTTCACAAATAATCTTTTTCCTATGAACGGAAAGAAAAACACTAAAAACCTTAACATGTCAGAACCCATGTTATTGTTTATCTGACATGACCACTTAAATCCTGCAGTGTCATATCTTATTGCACTGACTCGTATATATTATATAGTATACTATATACTGTAGTATATTCATACCCTTTCCTGGCACTAGTTTCACAAAATGTCTTTGGTTTAAAAAAAAATGTTTAACAGCATTTTCAACTGCAATACAACTTTAAAAAACGGTCAAATGTATGTTGCCATAAAACGTATATTTATGTTCTCTCCCATAATAAGCTAAATCATATCTTAGAGATCATAGTTGATGTAACACATTGTTGAAACAGCAGAGGGCAGTAGAGAGCTCGGTCAACATACTTACATCATTATATTATTCAAACGAGGGAATTATATAAAAAGAAAGATTTATAAAATTCAACCTTGTTCATAATTTGATTGTGTGACATTTAGCGCTACACAATACTTCACTTTCTGAACCCTGTTTCTAAATGAGTTATAACTCCAGCACAATTTCCTGGACCCATTGCCTTAAATATGTGTTCTATCTTTGAGTTTTCTTATCGGCGATGCCTCATTGCTGCTGTCTGTGCTCTCACCTGAAGGAACGGAGTCGGAGCCGAGGCTGGACTTCAGGGTGGACGAAAGCTCGGACGCTCCCATCCTGGAGGAACGCTCCTCCTCCCCCATTGACTTCCCTCAGGAGCAGTGGCTGGTGGGAATGGATATTCAAAATATAGAGAGGTACACCACCTGCAACTGTGTTTTCCTACTGTTGTGAATTCAGAAAAAGATTCAAAAAATGAATCGCTATCTTCGTTTTCACAGAGATATGCGGGAGATGCGTAACCTACTCAGCAAACTCAGGGACACGATGCCACTGCCACTGAAAAACCAAGGTATGAAATGTTTGGTGCGGATGATATTCCTTACATTAGTGTCACACTATCTTGATAAGAGTTAAATGAGAAGATACTGATACAGTTTGTCTGTACGCTTAATATTAAAGATGAACCAATTAGCATTGGCAACTACTTAGCTTAAAGGGGACCTATCATGCAAAATGCACCTTTGTACGTCTTTTATACATGAATATGTGTCCCCGGTGTTCCAGGGAACTCACCAAGTCGTCAGAAAAACACAGACCCCCTCTTCTATTTCCTCCATACCCAATCTCTAAAAAAAGCGGCTGCAACGATCTGATACAGACTGATCGCAGATTTGAACACTTATATGACGTCACAGAAGTGGCGCTTACGCTATTGGGCCAACTCCGACCTAATTCAGGAGAGACAGCCCGGACATTGCCGNGCTGCAACGGATCTGATACAGACTGATCCAGATTTGAACACTTATATGACGTCACAGAAGTGGCGCTACGGCTATTGGGCCAACTCCACCAATCAGGAGGAGACAGCCCCGGACATTGCCGTTCGAAAGCACTGGAGACGCTGTAGTACATATTTCAGGCCACCAGATGGTGCTGTTCTCACTGAA